AAACGATGTGATATATAAATATAAAAGTCCCTTTTAAGATAAAAAAAGATTTGCACATATAGCGTTTCCGATATGTGCATTCGGAGCATTTATAAATCTATTGGAATAATTATTTCTACAATTTCCACAAACGAATTATTTATTTCTATTAAATTGCGAGAGAAAGAGAGAGAATGATGTTTTGATATTACTCGGTGTACCAGCCGCGAAAAAACAAAACGTGTCAGTAATGCTTTCGGAAGGAAGTTTGTGGAATAAAATTTCAAAGAAACTTAGGCATCGTCCAGTGCGAAGAGCTGAACGACGAATGTAGGAGGGCGGAGTGCCGTGCCCGTCGCAGAAAACTTTGCTAGCGAGGATAAAACGCCATTGGCTAAACCGATAAACATCAGAAGGCTTTAGTCACGGTGAGAAATGCGCCGCTTCGAGATTTCGTTCAGCGTGGTGTGAAAAATTCCACTAAAAAGTAACGGCTGCGATTGTATCCTTCGGTGAAAGCTTCCGCACTTTGTTCGAATATTTCCCGGTATTTGCGCGTCATACATTTATCGGTTCGGCAACGACGAGAACGAAAGCACCTGTTCCAGCTTGCCGGTATAGCGAAAAGATATCGCGATCTCAAACGAGCTCAACAACAATACATAGGAACAGTTATATGCTTTTCGTCGGAGAACTTCATAAATCATAATGATACCAATCCGTCCTCGAACAACCGATCACAAAAAAAAACGCAAGAATAGGGGATCAGCCATAAATAAGTTATTCTGTTTATCGGAACGAGATGTGAATTTATATGGCAGATTTTTTGATAAAAGTATCTTTTATCAATTTTTTTTATAGATTATAAATATTATTAATATAAGTTTTTGACAGAATTATGCTCTGATAAAGATATATTATTTTTAATGTAAAAATTATTAGCAAAAAGGGAAAGTATTGATTTAATAAAATTGCCAAAGAATTAAGTGTTGAAATTGAGAGCAACTGTCTTGAATACAGATGTTCAATAAAATATTCGATTAAATATATCTTAAGGCTACATAATGAAAAATAAGAAGTCACGTTTTGACCTCTCTTAACATTTTCGCTAAAGTAAAATCGATTTGAAATTGGCCAGAGAATTCACCGTTAAAAAATAACACGGTGGAAGTGGGACACTTTGTATAATATATAAGACCCTCCAGCAAACACGGATATTTATTCGATAGCCTTACACGATTAAAACATTCAATGAGTTATCACTTAAAGCGACACAATTCAGTAAAATCAACAAAATAGATTGACATATAATTTGAAAAAGTGGTAGAAAACTATGCGGATACAAGATGGGACGATAAGAGTGCGATCGGTGTCTCACGAGTTCTCCAAGGTGCTACCGCTGTTGCTGTTATTGGCCTCACAAGCTCCCTCAACGTCCTCATGCGTTTCCCGATGCTCCTCGCTGCGCTCCACAGATCCGTGATCCTCGTCTTGCTGCTCCCGGTCGTTCTCGATTTTCTCAGCTGCGTGCTGTCGCGCTTGCACCGTCCGTTGCAGCAGCTGCGAGCTGCGAGCTCGCGATGCCGATCTGTTCCTCGACTTCGCGCGCACCTCGACTTTGCGTCTTCGGCGCTGTGATTTACTCGCTGAAATAACTATCTGGGTTAAAAGGATTATATTACTCGAAATTAGTAATAGTAATCAAATGACTGTCATACAGAAGCGCCACAATTTTGAACTGCATTAAAAGTAATAATGTGATTATTGATTTTTACTCTGTGTAAAATAATGTAATTTCTTTATATATCATGTTATGAACTTTCAGTTCTTTTTGTTACGGAATTTTTAACGTCCCTTATTCGGAGCCACTGCGATAACTCAGACCGACAAAGATCATATTTCCTCGGTAATATCTACAATTAGTTTTTCATGAAATTAACGCTCGAATGGTCGCTTGCGAAAAAAAGACACGCAGATATATATCGGCGATACCGGTTATCTTTTTCTTAGACAGTTTTAATATTACATGCTTCGAGATTTAACATTGCAAAACTGTACAAAGTTTCTTTCATCGTTTTTTTTATAAAATACAAAGAAGATAAAATTTCTCGGAAAATGAAGAAATTTTAAATAATGCTCCTAACTCGCAAATAGAATACTCAAGAAGATTATTAAATGGAAAAAGCGCATCACTCTTCATTTCTATTCCCAGTTTGATTACTTCAGTAATATTTTAAATTACCTCGGAAAAGGTGCTTTCGGTTCATATCACTTTCACACTCACTCTCATCGGACAAATCGGACTCGAGCTCTCGCTTGGATACTCTCGAACGTTTCGCTCTGCGATTGAACGGTGCGGACGACTCTCCGTCTCGTCTGTGCAGGACGTATTGTTCGGGCGATTGACTCTCGAACTCTTCGTCCTCATACGCGCGTTTTCGCTGTCGTCGCTGCAAACATTCGGATTGTAAGAAAGATCTCTCGAACAATTTGTTTAGCCGAACATCTCTAGCGTCCAGAACAAATTGTAATGTCCGACCAACATCGTCTCAATTTATCGTAAAATCATATTTTGATTTATATGTCATTATTTTACGTGATTCAGAATTTTTAATTAGCGCACTTTTCGATTTTGAACGGTCACAGTGGAGCGTTTTTTGTACGGAGAACGTGCTCGGGATTTTCTCTTTGTGTTACTGCTACGACGCTTGCTGCTTCGTCTCCGTGATGTAGTTTTTCTTCTACATTTATAAATATTAAGAATCAGAATTAGAATCTATTTCGATCGTGTCCTTTCCCGAATTCCGCGTTTTGCAACCACATTGAAAGAGTACATATAGCAATTTATTATTGTTAATTCATGATATATTCAATAGAAAAACTTATTCATAAGATTATTAACAAGACAGTTGTCACATTTGAAATATTGTCAGATCATAATAATAATCGGGAAAAAACGCGCGAACATTTGTCATCGTAGAAATGTCGTAACGTACTTGCGTTCTTGCGTTCTACGAGATTTCGCATCACCGATCGGGGCCTGTGCGTCTGGATTTATTTTTTTTTCTTCGGCTTTCGGATCATTAGAAACTGGCTTTTTGCTAGTAGACGGATCAGAAACGGAGACGGGATTCAGAGTGGCTAATACTTTGTAACGACCGCTTCTGTGCCTTAAAAGGCCGGCGGCCAATGCGTGTTTTAAAGCGCGATGTACCTGCAACGCATCAATGTCAGTGAATCGTTTAAACAGTCCTGTGAAATCCCGATTGTTAAAATACAATCCCTTTTCTGTTAAAGAAAATAACAACAATTTTGGACTATATGTTTACAATAAATAAACTGCAAGAATCAAGTATTCAGTACATTTTAATAAAAGTTTCAAAATTTTTTATTTAAATTTAATATTTTTGAAATATATATGTTTTAAGTCTGATCAGATGCGTAGAAATTTATGCGCGCGTAGAAAAAAACGTAGAAATCTATTATTTCTGTTTTAAATGAATAACACGCATGCAAAATTTTTTTAATAAATGCTGTGCAAAGAATATATGTGATATTAAGCAGTAAACAGAATTTAATGAATTGTTTTTAAACGAATGACAAAAGCACATGCAAATTTTTATTAAAGTGCTAATAAAAAAATGCGAAGACACTTGATGTCCTACGTGATAATATTATCAGTATAAAGAATTTCATAAAAATAGACACATAAAACGCAACGCAGTACATGAGAATGTATTTGCCTCACCTGCACCGTCAGGTTTTTGGCCGATACGTTGCTTTGCCGGATAAAACTGAGGACCTCGCGAGCAGATGAGCCTTTGGTGTCGCCTAGATTTATCAGTGCGTCTAACACGCGAGCCATGAGTCGAGGGTGCGACGGTCGAACCATTTTGAAATTTCGCGATTTGGGATTCACTTGACTGACGTGCCAATGTCACCTCTGTAAGTTTCAATCGAATGATTAACGAATGATAAAAAATTGATCACATTATTTCAGGCGCCAAACAATTATCGACAATAAGAATCCGCAGACTCTTAATTACGATAATTTTTACGTTTATGTTGTTTTTGTGTTGCCTGGCATCATATTTTTAAGGAATACCATAGATTTATCCACGTTCTCCTTTTTTTAAATTTAGCCTCGTTAAATGTGAGTCACGAAACTGCACCTTGAATTTTTATATTTTTTTACACATATTATCTAACACATGTCCAAAAAACATTCAGTCACTTTTTTTCAGTACGACAGACGTCTTAATAAATCTGTCGTAAAGGCGAACTGTCTTTTACAAGCACCACGAATTTCGTTGAGGCATGTCGTCGTTCGCGTCGAAGTTGTCACCGAGATGTTCGTTGTCTTTGTACGATATCTTTCATCTGTTCGACGGTATTCTTTTTTTATTTAATTAAAAAATCTCCGCGCTTTTATTCGCTCCAATAAATTCATTTAAATTTAACTGGTGCTTTGAATCCTTTATAAATTAATATAATGTCTATGTTTATTCATGATACATTTCAAAATGCCACAATCATGTGCATCTAGTCCGCGTTTATCGCATGGAAAATTGACGTTGTCTAATTTCAATTTACAGCCTTGTAACGCGAAGTATCATCAGAATGCGCCAGTGTTGGAAATTTTCACGGTACCGCGGTCTCGAATTACAAGTTTAACTTTAAGGGTCGCTCGTTATTCTCGTGCACCTTCTCATTCCCGTACATGTGTTTGTTAAACGCTGTGACTTACCTATTCTCTGCCGCTGACAGGGATACGCCGCGAGCACAACACGCATCCCATATTCGCATTATGAAGAAAATAATGTATATCATAGAAATCTTTTATTGCTTTTAAAAATATCATATTTATTTTGAAATACTTTGATCCGAAGAAATTTTTATCGCTTATCTGAAACACCTCGTAGAGTATTTTTAAAAATAATGTAAAGGTTTCATTTAACATTTTATCATAATCCATACACTATAATTCCGAAAATGATTTGCGAGCAATCTTATTTTTCAAAAACATCTTGCATAATATTTTGAAAAATATTTTAAAGATCAAAAATTGTTGAGATTTTATAAAGAAATGTATTTATAAGATAATTGTACATAATAATTTGGAAAACCATTTTGCATTTCTCAAGCAGCGTTGAATAATTGAAATTCTCGCGTCTGGTTTGTATACGTATTTACGGCATGCAAACGCGTTGATTATCAGGCTGCCCTGTAGTCATCACGTCACGAATAGTACCCATCTTTCAAAGCATACCTCGTATTTGCGTGTATGCGATTAGTGTGTACGCTGTTTACTTACAGTGTGGTTCGTTCGCTTCCAAACGTACATCGTCTTTCGCTCCGAACTATTTTCGAGGGAATGAATATATGCGTTGCGAGCGGCAAATGCACGCGTTACCGTCGAAATTTGCCGATTCGACACCTGTCTATTTACATTTGTCTACCGCTCGTCTACCTCCAAAATCGAGTAAAAGTCCAAGAAACGTCTACGAGACATCCGAAATACGTTTGAAAAGTTCTTTGCGGTATTCATTAGACATTAATAATTATCGCAGTCTCAAAGATAATGAGACGTTAAAATAACGAGAAGTGAAAATAAATAAATTAATTAAATTTTTATTTACTTTTTTCGACTCAATTTATATAAAATATAATGATATTTATTTCGAAAAGACATCGTACAAAAGCAAATAACTTATAACAGTCCAATAAATTGCTTATAGAAGAACAGATAGATCCATATGAGTGTAATATGAAATTTAATGACGCTATTAAGCTTCGAAACGTTGTTATTTTCCGCCTTGTTTGTCGCTAAAGAAGAAATGTTCGTTTCGTACAAGCGTCATCAGCGTGTTATTCATGAAATCGATAACTAAATTCTCTAGCTTCCAATCGACTCGCGAATCGCGACGATTCCACACGACGTCATCTCTTACTGTTGCCAAAAATGCAGTCTAGTGGAACGATTTTTTGCGCTCTCGATTAAAAGTCACCGTTGAATAGCTCGTCATGGTATTATAAGACCAAAATATAAAAATTTGTTAAGACGAGCATTGAAGAATCGAAACGAGAGCAAGACAGTTGTAACAATAAATTTCATCGTGTTATCGCACCTATATATTCAATTTATTAGTAGAAATTCAAAGATATAGAAGACTATCTTTTTTTTTTGTAAATACACACTTTGCTTATGTTATCAGGAGACGCGATAGTGTCTCCGACCAAGTTCAAAAAATGACACTACTAAGTCTCTTATTAACTTTTGTTACAGCGCGTAGTCGAATGATTCTTATTAAATCGAATTGATGAGCGAGTTGTCACACGAAGAAAGCGGCGATCCGGCCTGGAATATCATGAAGCCAAGAGTCCTGCTCGCTCTTGCCAACCTCATCGCTTCTTACGCTTCCTTTCTGTAAGTCTGATTTCTGTTACATTTTATTCTATACATTTTATCTTATGCATTTTGATGATATCAATTATACGGAATTTATTTTGCTTCGCGCGCACCACAAGATTTTTTTTTTCAATTTAAATTTTATGGCTTATCAAACGGTTTATAAATTACGCGAATGATTACGCATTCAGGCGACGATGAGGCTTTTACGGATCACATAGATACATTCTCCAAGCGCGTGCTTCTTCGTTTGTTGGATAACCAACCTCGTATAATTGGAGACACTTCTTTTTTCTAAATACATTAAACGAAAGCCACTTTCGTTTAAACGGCTTTATCATAGAATACATAAATAAAAATTTTCACGGATATCTCATAATGTTGCTCAATTAATTACAACGAGATTAATGCTTATAGTTTTAATTAATTAATAAATATTATGAAAATCTCTCCTGAAATTTGCAGTATAAAAGATTCGGCCGGGCAACGTGAGGTATTGAGGCGAGTTGGGCTTTTGTTTAGGGCGCTTTTTAAATATAAATAAGTACGGTTCTACGGCATAATTTAGCTCTCTCGCACATGCAATTTCGACCGTTTTAATTACGCCGGCGATGTATAAAGCGTGCAAAGATATTCGCGGATGCACCAAAGGTTCCGGGACGTGGATGAGTAAAAGTAAATCGCGGCTTACCCCATATGTGCCTGTGAGTATGCCATTTACATACGTATACGCGCACATACTGCGACTGTATCGGTGCACAACTGCGAAGCTAAATCCGAATGTGTATACGGGCATTTAGGCCGCATGTATTTCGACTAGTTGCGCACCTTTTTGCAGCCGGAAACCGCTCGATCCCGGGGTGTTGTTAGCGCAAATCAACCGATCAATTTGCTCGTTATGCGAGACACGATTTAACCCTCTGACCTATACACTTTGCACTCTGTGTATTCAATGCTACGAGAGTTGTTGGGAAAATAAGATACATAAAGCAGTAAATATATGCAATACAAATTTAAAAAAAGTGCATTTATTGCAAAGTCGAGTGAAACAATCTATTTGAAAACGTTTTCGAACGAAATAATTTCGTTTTTTTATCAGTTGTCCTGTTATGGACATTCGGATACATTCTGAAATGATCGGAGTGACACTTCGTGAACAAGTGGAAAGTCGATTCCAATCGGAGTGAACATTGACATTGGTGTGATGAAGCGGATACTTCAAGATTCTTTTATATATTTTTAATAATTTTTGAAAAATGACTTGAAAAGAATTTTATATCACAATCCTTCGACTTTAATTAAATAAGTACAAAGATAAATACTAATTTTTTAAAATTGTTTTACTAAAATTACATATAAGTATTATCTTATATTATTTTTATTGCAAATAAATTTTGATTATGTTTTCGATTTCGGTGAGATTTATAACTCGGAAACGGATGAAAATTCAATCGGAAACTTTTTAGATTGCAATTGTAAAAGTCATGTAACAGCTGTCCAGATATTTCATTAAAATCTAAAATAAATGAAAATTGCTTGGAACAAAATTTGGACTGATTGCGGTATTTTGAAAGTTTTAGATTATTCCGCTCTAATCTCAGAAAGCTATGTCGGCAGATAGCGAAATTTTATGACATTAAAATGCCTTATCAACTATGACAGTTATGTTAAAAAATTAATAAATATACATATTCTTACTCAATTTTATAATAGACACTTTTTTTAAAATTTTTATTATGTTTATATTTTCGTATTGCGACGTGACACTTTCTTTATCAAACAAGTCTCTCGACAAGCGGCGATTTACTTGTCTGACGGAATTACCATACTTGTGGTAGAGCGGCTGCAGGTGTAAGAACTTCCGCTAGGCAGCGGACGCAAAGCAACAACCACGGTAACATCAGCGACCTGCTAGACAATTTGCTTCGCGGCTACGACAACAGCATCAGGCCGGATTTCGGCGGTCCACCAGCCACTGTTGAGGTCGATATCATGGTACGCAGCATGGGTCCCATTTCCGAGGTGGATATGGTCAGTTATATTTTTTTGCTTACCTCGCATATGTGAAACAATCGCGAGTCGAGGCGTGCTTAATCCGGAAATTGATCAATTAAATATTTAGCATTTAAATGACCCGGTATTTAAATCTCGTTATTCGAGGAAATTTTATTCTGGGTATCTAAAACCTTTTTTCAGATAAAAACGTTAATTATTAATAAACATGTTAAAATTGCACTTCTATCACTTCAAATGCGAAGCGTTATCGCCGGTAAATAAATCACGATAAATTCATTAATATATTTTTATTTCTTAATTTGCCGTACGGGAAATGATGTGATCGAGTTTTCCTGGGCTTTATTTATTCAACATTTATTTATTCAACATTAAATATAAAATACAAATTTATTAGTAATATTTGATGGGATAAAGATCATAGTGATGCGAGTCAAATTTTGTAAAAAATAAACTGAGTGCACAGATGTAATCTATACATTCCAGTTCATTAAAAGAAAAAGTGGTGTAAGTCGTATTAATATAATTAATGTATTAATACGTTACAATTACAAAAATGGGAATTTATTAGAATAAGTGTAGTAAAACTTTTTGTTTCTCAAAATGTGGAAAACATGATTTACACCAATAGATATAAATAGATATAAACATATCGCCACATGATGAGATAAACTCAAAAATCATTGAATGCTTAATGTATAAATACGATTTTATTCTTTTTGGATCTCTCGATGTCAGAAATTAATGAACAAATTTTTAATAGCGGGTACCATTAGCTAATATACTTCTTGACCTAAAAATTCAATGGCGCCATTTGGCCATATTTGGGAATAATGGTATGCTTTTTGGCATCTAAAAATTCAGTGGTGATGTTATATCACTGCATGCCATCTCATTTCGAATACCAAAAGATAATGCCTCAAGTCTGCACACTTTGTTGCTTTCGAGGAAATAGCCAATAGCGATCGAGAGTAGCCTCGAAGAGCGATAGCAGAGAGTGAAAAAAGGACATAATTAATTAGAAAGAAAGTTCTTCGCGGCTACCCCTTGAGAGAGGCGTAAGTAGAATTATTCGGTTTGTCGTGTAATTCTGTCTAAAGCCGCTCAAACACATCCGAATAGTTCAAGAGGTTTAAAAATGGTCAAACTTCTATTGAAAATGACTCTTTTTCTGAACAACCATTGACATCTCAGATTGAACCAACTCAAAGGCGTTCTTTTAGAATAGCTTCAAGAAAAATGGAAAATTCTTTCAAAAATAAGAAAAACGCTGGCAACACTATATTGACGTAGGAAAAGAATATTTCAAAGGAGATATGCTTCTACACAGCTTATAAACTCTTGTGTATATTTTTAAAAAATCATATGGAATTTTTCGTCGAAAAGACTTTCGTCACTTGTAAAATTTTAGAAATAATTTAAACTCGATTATTAACTGATAAAATTATATAAAAATCGACTGAACGGAATGGCAAGAATCAGAAACCTGTTTAAAATATTTATCTTGTGAAACAATAGCGATATCGATCAATTTAATCGAATTTCGAAATTCCTTACAGACGTACTCGATGGACTGTTACTTCCGGCAATCGTGGGTCGACAGACGTTTAGCATTTCAGAGTGGTAAGGAAACACTCGCGCTGAGCATCTCGATGTTGGCGAGGATCTGGAAGCCTGACACATATTTCTATAACGGCAAACACAGTTACTTACATACGATCACCAGCCCGAATAAGTTCGTCAGGCTTTACCAGGACGGCAGAGTACTTTACAGCTCAAGGTATGTGCTATTGCAATTAATATCTTGATATTGCCATAAAAACCTTTCTTTCAAAAACACGCCTAATTTTTCCAGAAATCTTATATAATAATTAAATTACGGGTCAAAATATTTCGTATAATCGTAATGTAATATAAGTTGGAACATTGAATTAAAGCACGATTTTAATATGAAGAATTAATATAAAGAAAGGAAATTCAGTGCTCTAAATCCATTCTGAATCAAAATTTGCTATTACGAAAGTAATAGACTGTTCTGTTATCCTTTCATAAAAATATCTTAAGAAGCGCAACGATCTCTCAAAAATCGATTGCACGAACGTTGTATGATTTATGTTCCGGAACTTTGCTTGAATTTTATCTTTTATTACTGCCAGCCGCTTATGAAGCCCATTTCCTTCCTCTCTATCATATCTTTTTCTTTTCTTCAAAATTACTATCTGCTTTAACATGCTATAATAACATGCTATTAATTATAAACAAATTTTTATCTAATTTCAAGAATTTTGCAAAGTTGAGAGAAATTGACAGCGTTAAGATTGTAAAGCAATGTGAAGAAAGAAATTAATTTCTCGCGAAATTTTGGCTGACTTACAATCTATTAACAGCGCGTAATCTCATTATCTGAACGATGTGACGAGACGATCGAAACGAGTATGTCGGCGTTCACCTCGAGACCGAATCTCTGCAAATCTTTTCTCGGCGACGTGACATATGCATAGTCTGACGCATCTCGAACTCGAGAGTCAATTCTGCCGTGTACAATAGGGCCGATCCGGAAGACTAGGTCAAGAGAAAAGGAACGGGTTGAAAAAGCGAAAACGGGTACATCGTTCGATCTTACATCCCTCTGTAATTTATATTCGAATTGCACCAACAGCGTGAATGAAGCACAATAATTTTAACAATGTGGAGTGATGCGATATTGCGACCGCGGCTTCGCAGTCCCCAGCACATATACAAGCTGAGAAAAGCGTCCATGTGCACTCAGCACTCGGCTCTCAGCTAGTAGAAGAGAGTAGACGTACCGTTTTCTGTCTTGCTTCTATCGAGCTGGCAAGAGTGGACGATAAATGCCAAGATGCAAGCATTTCTAATTGAGTAAGGCGAGCTGCTAGAACATTAGAGTGTCAGAGACTTGTTTTTTTGCCATTTTTTTTCTTTTTTCCGTGTGCGTTACTAACAATGTACAATCAAATAAATTATTAGATAATTTTTTTGGCTAAAAAATATTATTTTATATTTATTTGCATATATTAAACTAATAACTCCAGAAATAATTCTAATTTGCTATTGTCAATAGAAAAATGAAAAATTATTTTACAATTTTGCAACATACTGCAAGTTTAACATATGCGAATATTTTTAATAAATATAAAATAATACTTTTTGCCAAGAAAACATTATTTAATAATTTACTGGATTGTATACTGTTAGAAACGAATGCGGATAAAAAAGAAAGCAGTTGCAAAAAAAACGGTATCTCTAATATTCTAGCCATTAGCTTAACTCGCTTACAATTAGCCACGCATGTTGCTTAACAATAATTCCAGTCCGCTGTTGTCGACTCGGTGGAAGCGAGACAGAAAATGGTCTATGAAGAAAATATGTCTCTCTTCTATTAGCCAAGCGCCGAGCGCACATGGATGCTATTCTCGGTTTGTGTGTGTGCTCTGGACCGCGGTTGCAATATTGCATCACTGACAATGTGCTATTCGAAGAAGCGACAGATTAAATCATTCCGCGTTATTTTATCTTCATTTTTCAACTCCGCCGAAATAAACAACTCATTAATTAGGTAATAATTTGGATTTTATTAGATCTCCCTTTTGCAAGAGGTCAGGAATGCTAAAATAATGAAATAGTATTACATTCACCCTTGTCGAGCTGGCCTTGCACAAATAAAAAAACCAATAGCGCAAAATTATAAGCTATTTATGAGC